TAATGTTCTTTTTAGCAGCATCATATGACCCTTTAAAATGTTCTTGAAAGAGGTCTCTTTTGCTCACCAAGGCTGCATTTATTTGATCAGAAATACAGTAAAAACTGTAATATTGTGAAATATTTTTTAAGTTTAAAATAACTTTTCTATTTATATATATTTTAATATATAAATGTAATTTAGCAATGCGGTATTTTTAGCAGCAATTACTCCAGTGTCACATGATCATTCAGAAATCATTCTAATATGCTGCTTTGGTGCTCAATAAACATCTCTTATAATTACCAATGTTGAAAACAATTGTGCTGCTTAATATTTTTGTGGGAAGTGGGACACATTTTTTTCAAGATTCTTTGATAAATTGAAAACTCATACTTTACATTGTAACAATGTAAAGGTCTTTACGATCCATTTTGATGAATTTTGATTACATTTTAACCCCTGTGATATTACTGACCTCAAACTTTTGAAAAGTAGTAGGGCTGCTCTTGACTAAAGATTTTTCTGGTCGACCAGTAGTCGTTCATGTTAAGCGGTTAGTCGACTAGTTGCACGTTTATATTAATAAACCATAACTCATAGTAATGAGCATTTAATTGCCTATGTAGCGCACAAATAAGGTTTGGCACACAGCGCACCAGCAGAAGAAATGATTATGAATGCATCAGGAAAAAAAGCAAGGAGACTGCCTTAACATTTTAATAATTCGTTGATAAACCAGTGTTTGCTGTATTTTTGGCTGCAGTGATGAATTGACGGTCTCCTCAGTGGATGCACCTATATTAAAGGGGTCATATGATGCGATTTCAAGTTTTCCTTTCTCTTTGGAGTGTTACAAGCTGTTTGTAAATGGATAAGATCCCTAAAGTTGCAAAGACTAAAGTCTCAAACCCAAAGAGATATTCTTTATAAAAGTCAAGACTCGTCCACGCCCTCCTAAAACGCCTCGTTTAAACATGCCCCCACATGTCTATGTCACTGTGTGGGAAGATTTGCATAACGCCGCCAAAATGTTCACGCAAAGAAAGAAGGCGTAACTTTGATTCTCGCTGTAGTATTGTTGCTGCCGCCGCCATGTTGTGAAGACGCTGTGTGTCTCGTTGCGAAAGTGAAAATACTTTCTTTGGCCTTCCAAAAGAGGACACGACTAGAAAGCCAGTGGTTAAGTTGTATTTACAACACTGTTCCAGAACACTTCAACCCAAATATTTTGTGGAGGACTGTTTCCTGGGAGAGTAGCGTACAATGCCGGCTATTCTGACTCACAGTCTTTAAGTACGTTTTCATATTTAAAGAATTTTCCACTGATGATTCAAACGTGAGTTTTGAGCAGTGTAGAGTAGCGCTTGTTGTTTGTCATTTCTCCGATCACAAATGCAGATATGGTTTTATGTTTACGCGGTGCGATTCAACGCAACGCGTAAAAAGACAGTATAAGTCATTATAATCCGTAATTATGTCCCCACTGGATGCAACAAATGCCTAATTTATAATGGGTTTTATTGCTTTCGTCTCGTCACTCTGGGACACAGCATCACAGTATGGTAAGTGGCTTAACATTTCTGTCACACGCATGAGGTATTCGGCCAATCACAACGCACTGGATAGTTGGCCAATCAGCGCACACCTCGCTTTTCAGAACGATGAGCTTTGTAAAAATCTACGCGTTTCAGAAAGGCGGGGCATAGAGGAGAAACAATAATGTGCAGTATGTGGAAAATAATGTGCTTTTTTTTTACCTTAAAACCGCATAAACACATTTCATTACACCAAATAATGTTCTTTTTAGCAACATCATATGACCCCTTTAATGTTTCATACAGATCACATAACCTGAGAATAGTTGTTTTGCATCTGATTTGGTTCATTTAAAAAAGCAAACATTTAGCTTTCTATAGATAGGCCTATATTTCTTATGCCTGAGGCAAGTATACACGGAGTTTCGTTTTATTATTTGACGTGCTCAAGTTCAAAGACCGTGATGAGATGGCAGAACACACGAGAAGGGTCTGGCTGCAGCCTTGCACTTGCATTCTCAGACTTGCACTCTCAGACACTTGCGCTTCCGCTAGCAACGTCACTTGCAGTCTTTTATTTTTTTATTTTGTTCTATTTATTGATTACTTTTTGTTTGAATCTCTCAACATTTTACAACAGTAGCCAGGTGGTGAATACAAGAAAAAATAAACTAAATAACAATGTCACTTGCAATCGCCAATTGCACTCTCCGATACCTGCGATGTCACTTGCAATCGACACAAATCGTGCATGTTGCCAATGGAGACAAGAAGCTGTGGTGGTGATTAAACGATTAAAACTAATTTAGTACTATAACGTACAGGGTCCTGCAAGAAAAAGACAAGACCCGCAAATCCGTGGCCACAGAACAGCAGAATATGAACGCATGCGCAAAGTCTCTCGTTAAGCATTTTCCTCCTGTAGAAAAACATAAACACTTAATATAGCGTAATGTATTAAGATGCATTAAGTTCAATTAAAAGATCAAATTCGATATATAGTTATTATTGAATGTACTACAAGGCAAACAGATGGCTATGAACACAATGCGCAAACTTTCACTTGTCCTCCCATACAGCAAAATGTTTAATGTGGCAAAATAACAGACTAAGATGATAAAGACAATTCAGTATCCTATATGTCTTGTTGTTGACTCAAAGTATATACAGACATAGCATCTTAAGTGCCATGTTAAGTGTTTATGTTTTTCTACAGGAGGAAAATGCTTAACGAGAGACTTTGCGCATGCGTTCATGTTCTTCTTCTTGCAGGACCCTGTATTTTATAGTACTAAATTAGTTTTAATCGTTTAATCACCACAGCGTTTTGTCTCCATTGGCAACACGCACGATTTGTGTCGATTGCAAT